ATCCTACTCCGTGGAATGGAGTTTCCTGCCATTTTGTGCAAGAGAATCAAGCCCTGCACAGCTTTGGCCAATGATAGACTTCTCGGATGTGCTTTTAGAGTGATGATGACCTACTGAAGAAGCTGCACTCCCCAAGAATCTGGAGCGAGCAATGTTGTCTTCCGCCTAACTGAGAACTTTTGAAGTCGTGGTTGATGACTAGATGCCTACTCGGACGGTAGGGTTCGACCCAGAGCCATACGCAGGAGGCGCACAACACGACGCTTGAGCTCTCACGGCATCCCGGCGCAACATTCTTCATAGGGGTAATGCTTTTCGACTGAGGACACCATGATCACTTTGGCTGTTTGTGCGATTTAGATTCCTGGGTTTCCTAAGGGGGGAGTACTCATGAAAAAGCTTGGCATGGAGCATGGATGCCGTAGGTAATTGTGCCCACGTCGCAGGTCTTATAGCATGGGGATACTGATGCTCTAACTTTCCTGCCTCTATATGGTCACCAGAAACGGCTTTGCCATGTTTGCGGGGATAGGACACAACATGTCCGAGCATCCGCAGGCACCCCTCACTGTTTATGCTGAGAGCCTTTCCGCACACGAGCACAGAAAAAGGTTGTAGCCCTTGCTCTCCTGCATGCCTGGTAGCCAACGATCGGAGGCCGGGAGGTTACAATTTGGAAGTGGGCACTATAGGGATGGAACCAAAAAGCTACACGTCTGTTCCCGAAGGGAAAGGAGCTAGTGTTTCAACGGGCAAGGGAACTGACCAAGAAGCATGAACCTTCAAGCGCTATATGTTCTTTGCACAGAGATCGAGGACCCTTTGCCTGCATAGGACCCCTCATTCTCTTTACGGCGTCTGGCTGCATTCATGCAATCTTTTGCAGGGATTTGGCAACGAACAGCGACTATCAAAGGTTTAAACTTGTTGAGAGTCTGGGCACACGTTTGTCATCCTGTCGGGGCCCTCACGGGACCTTCATCATGCACGTGGCAGCCACATGTTGGGAAGAATCATGCAGACATGCAAGGAATTCATTCGCGCAGTAAAGTGGTATTGGAGGCATCTCTTTGAATTCAACTCAAAGAGGTTATTGTCGATGATTCCCATACCGCAAGTTCATGACATCGTGAGTTCGTCTGAAAGAGAATCAGGACAAGCAAAGGTCTGTGTTTCACATGCACTGAATCTCTCATGTCCTTGCCAGCCCTCACAAACGAGTCCAAAAGCTAGTCGTGGTCATGTTGACGTGTTTTCCTCGTGGCTCTTTCGAGGACAGAGCTGTCAAAGTTCTACAAGGACGGGCAGGGCGGTAGGCTTGTTCGCTGCGTTGGTTACGCATGGTACGGAGATGCGGGCAGCTTGGATGACTACGGCTCTTCGCTTAGGTATCTGCAAATGTCATGTTCAGGGCGGTGTTTCCTGTGAGTATTTGATTGCATTCATTGGTGACATGTTGCCACCCTCGAAAGCATAAGACGGATATCGCTGACCATGATGCATGCCCAGAGCGAATGAGGTGGTAGAAGCTTTGCACACTTATGACGACTGACATGGCTTCACAAAAGCGTGCCAATGCACATGCGAACTCATTTTGCAAGGCAGCTCTGGTTCGGCCACGGGATGCGAAGCGTTGGACAACCCCTCTTGCAGGACATGGGAGTGCCTCTTCCCGGTGGCGCGGCTCCGGGCGGCATGCCAGGCAGCTTTCGGTTCACCGTGCCTGCAGTCTCTAAAAAAAGCGAGGAACACACCCACACGAGGAGGGCGCATTACAAGTGTGCAAGGTCTTTATCTTGCCACTGCAGTTCGCAATTTGACTTTTTGCCAGTCCTGCCACGTTACACGTCATTGCATGCTGAAAAGCCAGCAAAAGAAACCTAGTTGCTCTGCAATTACTCCCTTTCTTGTTTTCTGGACCAAGCTTGCAGGCGTTCCTGCCGCACCAGCCCCTCCGCCGCCACCACCCATGGAATTTGATCCTGCTGGCAGCTGGGCTCCAAATTGAGCTGCACCTTACTAGGAATTACGACCCGGTGACAGTAAGCATGATTTCTGCTGGGAACAGGTTGAGAATTTCCAGCATGGAGCGGAATCTGGTTTGGAGGGCAGCAAATCGGGAGATCGTTCTGGTAAGATACCTGGCAATGGTCCAGTTGGAAAGTTATCTACCAAGATTGAAGACGTTAGAGTCGCCGTGATCAACGCAGGATTCATATCTGCGGTGTCTCAGAAATTAGTTTTGCATGTTGCTGGGTTTGAACTACTCTGCGCATCACATTGTGCAAGGAGCGATCTGGGAATGACTAGGCTGCATGCTGCACATTCAGCACTGTAGCATGTGCAGGTGTGGCGTCCGGAGCGTTTCGCTTCAGGATGTTGACTGTCGTTGTGGTGATATGGAAATGTCAAATGTAAGGGGACAGAGTTTCTGGTTGCAGTCAGCATTCACCGAACATTAAGCTAGCAACATGACACTCCTCGGATTTTCCAGAGGCTGGGATGCGCATTTTCAGTACATTTCAAGATGGGCTCCTCAAAAAGGTTATTACAGTGCTGAAGCATGTGAGATTTCTTAGCAGAATCCATGATCCCAAAGACAGTCCCTGTTTCAAGACGTCCCCCATGTTGGGATCTCTGATTAGCAGCCCAGCCTGATAGGTTTGGGGACGAAACTTGTGGACTGAGCCGCGGAGACATCGCGCGAGCACGATTCGCTGGGCTGACGCAGCAGTAGGTAGGAACAGCACTGGCTGAAGTCATGGACCGGTCGATTGTAGGGTTGTACCTTATGGTTCTTTCGATAGTTGAAAGCTTGTGCTTCACAATATGCTATGTAGTAGTTTCCATTTTCTTTTCCATGATCCCCATGTAACCCCTATACCCTCGATCTATTATGGTAGATATACTATAATATACAATAATATCCAAAAGAGGGGCAGTAAGAGCAGCTCACTGGCTGGGTAGGTATACGGTTCACTTTGGGGGCTTACACAATCCACCCCAAGTGGTCAACTACAAACCTAGTTCGCTCAGCTACTAGAGGGGAACATGTCTGCTCATAACATGATGGCACAGGGGTGCGGCCTTGAGCGATGGCTGGATCCTGCTGAGTATTGAGGAAAATATGACACGCGGTGCGCTGCTACGAAGTAGGCTTGAGCACTTACAAGCACTTACAACAGAACTGCTACAGTTTCCCAAGCAAAGCAACCGGGATGTCTGGACCAGGAGGTTTCCTTTGCCCTCAGAGACAAAAACTGTTCATATCCTCACTCAAGGAAATCCAGCGCCACACGAATTGTCAGAGATGTAAGGAGTTACGTAGGTTAGGAGTCTGAAGTAGTGCATATTCCGCTCGATGAGCAAGAGCAGCCATAATGTCTGCAAACTTGGTGACAAATCCCATGCTACTTGAGTCAACCCATCGCCTGTAGCCAGGCAGGTTTGTTTGAAAGCTGTAGGTCACGCATTTATGTTAACCCTGATTTCAGGATAGCATGCCAGCGAGCATGCTGGCTGGAGACCATTTGGGTATCTCCCAAAATCAGGGCCTCTTACGCTAAGACGCCCCAAATAACCATATCCTGCTTATTGGAACTCCCAACAGCGACCCCTGATTTTGGGAAATCCCCATGTGAGATTTGTGGGTCTCCCACGTTTGCTAAAACTTTCTGAGCTCAACACATTGCCAGATGCAGGCCAGATACAGAGCTCGTGGGAAAAGAAGTGCTTCAGAATCTGGGATTGGGGATTTCGGCATGGGACCTCTAAGAGTCCTTCTTACTCCGTCTGGAGCCACAAGCTTCAAACACACACTTTTACTGAAGCTGGTCGGCTCAAAGTTGAACATGCCATTCATTTTGTAGGGGTAGCTTGTAATTGGGTGAAAAGGGTTGCATGGATTCCTTGATCTGTGCTTTGAACTAAGTAGAGCTTTGACAATTCGGGCTTCTGTGGTGCGTGGGGCCATGTGAACAGCAAGATGTCCGTTCGGATCGACCCTAAACTCTGTTATTGACGGTCCAATCAGGCTGGCGGCTAGGTTTTCAGAGATAACAGATTGGCTTAAAGACGCTGGTGGTATCTTGGGGCTACTTGGTCAGGTCCTCGCATGCCGAGCCAGCAAGTATCTGAATATCTAGGCTTGAATGCTTAGCGATAGTTCACGATTCGTTACAAGGACACCCCCACCAAAATGTACTTGGTACACAGGAGACAGCTCTCTCCCTACATGTATAGATAGATAGATAGATGGAAAGAACTTGTGTAGCTCCATCTCGCGGGCACACGATGGGCACACAGGGACCACAAATTAAAGGTCTCTTGTGCCTAGGCCAAGTTCGTGTAAGCTTTGATCACCTCTGCTTGTTTAAACCCAAGATATAAATACCATGCAACCCTTATTTACCAAGCTCCCAGCCGCAACACCCAGACGCCAGTAGCCGTGCCTTTGATTATTCGGGAAGGCCGTGGTGGCGGCAAGCAATGCCAGCGTCCTGGCTTTGCTCTCAGATGGTCGTCCGTGTCAGGCTGCAGAGTGTATCCGTTTTTGGGCGTTAGAGGTATGTAGCGTTCATGGCACCGCCAAAGTTCAAAGGATTTTGTTCCATCAACAGTGGTATTGCGGGTTCGTTTTCTTGGGTCTAAGGCCTTAAGGTTTTAGGGCAGGGTTAAACTTAGGATTTATGAGTTAGGAAGAGGTAAAGTCACCACGGAACACTCTCTTTTTTGGATTCGCTGCTTTAACGACGTGTTTGTCTTGCTGTGCGCGTTTGTAATGTCAGCTCCTTGGAGCACTGGAGTGTCGGCTATGCTTTTCAATTATGTTGGCTGATTTCCTCGGACGAACACTTTCATCTCCAGCCAGAACTTGCGCGGCTCATGGTCTAGATGATGTTGTAAACCCCTATAACCAACTCAAAGAACACAGGTCTGTAATAGTCTTTGGAGTTGTTGTGCTGCAGCTGGGCCATCTTCTGGGGCTTCACACTTTCAGCATGTCCTTGATCAGCCTGGAGCAGCTCCAGGTCGGAACACAGGTGACGTGCAACGAGACGGAGGATGATGCAGACTGGGAGAATGCCACGCGGCTCTATCTGGTTAGTTCCGACTTCTAATTAATGCTTACAAAGCCAGAGGATTGCTGCCGCGCGTCTATTTTTGTTGAGGTGCCGGAATACAGTTTGACCTGTGCACGGTGCGAAACAGCTTCAGTCTTTCATCTCTTTGAAGAGCAAGCAATACAAGAAACCTGGCTGTCACCAGCATTCCTGCTTCCACGCAGATGCTTCCTCCCATGCAATAGTGCCGTTTGTTTACCGTTTACTTGCTTTTCCTCACCTATTATGTGCCCTTTCTTTGCCTTTTCAGGCTTCTCCACTTTGCCTTTGGCGTAGCTTTTGTTACCTTTGGGTCAGCTTTCAATCTCCATTTATTCAAAACCAACTTGTGAGGCTGTCTGCAGAACAGGGGATTCCAACCCTTGCACTGATGATTTCACCTAAGACCTTGGCATACAATACCGCTGCAGACTAGTCTGTTCTTAAGTGGAGCGGGTTTGCTTCGAAACCCGACGCTCAGATCCTTTCCTCTAGAATGTGGTGCGGCAGAAAGTGTTACAACGGACAATGATCATCCAGTAACAGTGCAACTTCAAATTGGGCATCTTGTTAATGTGCGTTGTGAGGTACATGTAAGCCGTGCAGTTGGCGACCAGAAAGTTTTCGAGTTTTCCAGGTAGTTGCTGAAGCATGAAGCCCCCACGGCAGCAAAACAACAGTCCGAACATCAATTGAAATGTTCCATTCTAAACCAAATTGGCCATAATCCAACTACTGTATGCGGACAAGGTTCTGGAGCTGATTCAGCTCCTCGGCCGTCCTGCTGTGATGGCTGTCGCCGTTGGCAACGCGCCTCCTCAGCATACTTGCGACATCTTGCAACCTGGGGAGGGCTCAGCACTTGCTTGCTGGTTGCTAGTAGAGAATGAAGTAATAGGAAAAGCCATGGAGATCATCATACCAATTAGGAGCAACATAGGGCAATGTAGAGGCTCATTACTATTGAGATCGTGTCGTCCATTCCTTACTTTCCCTACAAACAACCAGTGAGTCTGGGGGTTAGTCTTTTATGGTGAGGGTTGTGTGCAGGCTTGCGCGTTCAGGGTCCAAGGGCTCAATTCTCTTGAGCGCATGTTGACCTTACGAGTTTAGGGTCCAAATTCGGCCCAGCGAGTCGGTTGAAGACAATGAGAGCAATGCAGCATTGCTGGGATCCGGAGAAGACATGTCTAGCTTAAAGTCATCTTCACGTGTGATCTGGGATGCCTTCTAGACTAGGCTCGCATCAATCTTGGGGTTCCTGGAACTTGGTTGTGTCATGCAGGGACTATTGTAATTACAGGCAAAGGTAACCTGGTGGTAGCCGCTTCATATAGTTCGTGCTATGTGCTGCCAGCGCTGAAAGTCGTCGATTTAAGAAGACATTGATCTTCAGGCACAGGCTTGGTTGTGCATTTGTTTAGTACTCTCGAGTGAACGGTGGGAGATACAGACATGTTTACAGGAAAAAGGTTGACCCAGGATTGTGTGCCGATATGCCACCCGATTCAAACTTATGATGACACCCCCCAAGCCCTCAACGTCAAGGCCCAAGCCCTGGACTCAGGTGGCCAGGGTGGAGAAGAGCCCTTAAGCTCTGCAACCTGTAGCCTCAACTAGCGCAAGAGGGGCGCCCCCATTCTGGCAAAGGAGATGGAGCTGCTGCAGTTCAAGTCTGCCAAGGTTCAAATTGGATGGGGAACTGGGTGTTCCCCGAAATTGGGGTAGTTACCCCTACATATAGCGTACCCCAAACGCTTTTAAATCACGGTCTGAGTCGGCGGCACCCCCTTTGGAGTTCGAGGTGTTTAGGTTTCGAGCTTTACGAATTCCTCATGGGATATACTGTTTAGGGTTAGGAACGGTTAGGAGTCAGCCCTGAGGGTCTCAGGGGGGAAGATGGCCTGTGGGAACTTGGTACTTTCAAATGGTGACCGCTGGATTTTAGTGTGCACCTCGTTTCAAGGGCCTTTGCAGCCCCAGCAAGATGCAACAAGGCTGCCTTGAAGACCACGAATGTAACCAGGGGCCAGGATCTTCATCGGTACTGCAGCCTGAAGCGAACAAGGCATGTCCCTTCTGTCCTTTCTCGTAGAAACCTATTTGCGCACACCCACGACAGTGCGGGAAAATCTTGCTATGATAGAGATGGGCTTGGAACCGATCCAGTTGCATGTCCCAAGGCAATGTTGTCCTATTTTACACCAGGAGCCCTTATTACCAGGAACCGACAAAGTCGACGAAACTCTCCATTCAGAATCAAGCAAGTGCGGTCGTCTTAGCACTTTCCAGGTTTGTCTGCACCACCCTCGCATAGAGAAAAAGCGACAGCCACGCGAACACCTCCAGACCCATGCTCGCAAGCCCAAAATCTCCTTCAGCTTGATATCAAAGACCCCAGCATGCTCGGCAAGCTGGCTTTGTCATTCCAGCCACAGAAATGGGGCAAAGGGTTACCCGGGTGCTACTATACTCCCCTATGAAAACGATGAAGTTGCGCCTTGCTCCCGTTCAGATCGTGCCACCCGAGTGCATCCAGCGAATTTGGAAGGGAGGCTTCTTGGCAAATTCGAGGTTCATCAAGCGTTTTTGCATGGCAGTTTCCCAAAATAGTGGGCCCCAATATAGACCCCTACATACCATACAGCTTATTTGCTATTCAGACCCCAAAACGGTACCCCTGCTGTTGGCAAACCCCATTTTGCTGGGCATGTCTGCATTTACAGTTGATGGGGCACCATATTGCAGCGTGCACTATAGACACCTTGAGGAAATCTGCCCAGGAGTCTGAGAGCGTGGAGATTGGCATATTGGCCTAAAGGGTTCCTCAGTTATGTCGCAAAAATTTGCCAGGGAACAGCATGTAAGACATGATCGTATTTGGGCTACTGGCGGTATGTTGCCTCTTGATGTCCATCATGAGCCCTATCTAGTCCCCCGTACGTGCATAGAATGTGTGTATATGAGGATCTTTCACGATTTACCCAAAGCCATATTCTATCTACTCAACGGGGACTAAGCTGTTCATGTAACCAGATATGACATTCACCCGCTGTCACAAGCCACCCCCAGCGTTTCGTGCGTGATTCAGGGTGCGACCTACCCAAGGGGTTTCAAGTACCTCATAATCAGGTATTTGTGGTAGGTAATAGGATTTCGTTTCGGGTCAGTATATGATTATTAGGTACTTGGACCTTTAGAGCTAGTGCAAGGGACCTATACTGAGGCTACTTCTATGACAAGATGGTGACGCGCGCTGCTGATCTGGATGCCATTGCGACTTGACATCATGTTATATGTTTGAGCACCGTTCAGTTTGACTGTTGGATCTACCCTTGTGTAGCAGCAATTGAGGGATGAGGGTGTTGGTTGGTGAAATTCTTACATGACGCTTGCTTTGGACTTGTGGTTAAGGGGTTCCTGACTATGTTTACATGGCGGGGATGGTAGGGAACAGCAGGTTCGTTATAGCTTCTGTGTGCCGAGCTACCGGCTTGCTTAAAGCGTCTTTCTGGGAGCGTCAGAAACAACTTAGTGCTGAAATGGGGTTGAAGATGCTGCTAGTAGATAACCGGTAGGCCACGGGTTGGGAGTGTTTGGGGCTCAGGTTTAAGGTTTGGTTACGGGCTTCATGTTCAGCACTTGAAAGACTTCAAGATCATCTAGCACCAATGTAGTAACAGCAGACAGACGTGAGCCAAGAGCGTTGCTCTCAGTTCCCAGTTCTTGCTTTCCAGTCTTTCCGTTGGGCTTCCATGACTGCGATCCTGCTGCTAAGGCCCCCACTCGCATCCCAGCTTGAGGAGTTTTACAGGAGATGAACCTAGTCGTCCATACAGCCTCCAGTAAGTATGTTGTTGGACTCAACTTAAGGACTGGACATGCCAACTAGGTCAAGGTAGGCTCCTTACTAATCACTTGATGGGAAAGCATGGGTCTCTGACTCGACCTGCCCACATGTCCAGGAAGGCTTCGGCACTGTCCCTCTGACCAGCGTCTTCGGAGGCACTACATGGGAAGATATGGGGAGTGTCTTATATTCACTATATTGTGATGGAAAAGATATTAAGTGAAAACTGCTATATCGTTATGGGATTGTATAACGGATACTCAAATATGAAGAACATGGAAAATCAAATGCAAGCTAGGGATACATAGGGGCTTCAAGGTGTAAGCATGAACATCTCTGTAACAGCCTACCAGGATGGTACTCAGCTGTTAACTGCTGAGCCTTAGAATAAGGGGTTTTTGGTAACCCCAACCCACAAAACAAGAACGCTATAACCAGCACATGATAGTCATAGGGTCCTAATTTGGGGATTGGGGTTACCACTTTTGTTTATGGGCTCTGGTGTGTTCACGCGCCTAACAGCCATGATGACGTATACTGACTATGCTGGCAACCATCATGAATTACATGCCGGGATGGGTGATCACAGGCTCCAGGGTAGTTTACGCTGTGCAGCTGCTTGCTTGCAGCTAGCAGCTTCATTAGACGGCAGGATCATCCGGCCCCTCTTCCGACACACTCAGAAGCTAATCAATATGTGTACAACCTTTTTTTGATGAGTACAAGCCTCAATAGGCTGTTGCATTTGGTGATGTTTTATGCGGGGGCTTCTCAAGAGTACTTTGCTAGCATCTCTGGTCGATGCCTGTAATGTTTTTGTCTCTTTGTGTAATCCCAGCATTCCAGAGGGCCTTTTTAAAGAAAGCCCAGTCCACGATTTGTGAGACCGGCCGCAAAATGCCAATCAATGTACATCTGCATAGACGTCTGGATGCCAGGATAGCGCCTTTAGAGCTTCAGTTACCATAATGGGTATATATAGTAAATAATAGGGTTTCCCCAATATAGTTAGCTTGACTCAAAGGAGTGAATTCATTTAGCGGTTCAAACCTTGAGTCCAATTTGTTTGGCGCTTGCATAATCGATCAAGACAAAATGAATTAAGTCTTACTATGAACAAATTGTGAATGAAGTCCTTTGTATGCCTCGTCTTTAAATTTCCATAATTGCGTAAGCTATCTTCTATTTGTACAAAATCAGGTACACATTGCATGTATATTGAAGTTACAGGCATAATTGCAGAATCCACGAAGAAATAGCACGGAATTTACCGCGTGTAGCCTGATGGAGTTTCGTAGAAACCCTACCTTCAAAACCAAACCCTGAACCAAATTCTACGAATAATCCCCCTGCCTATCTAGGTGTATGGCACCTAGCTTGTGTATCGGGAAGATTCCCAGGGTGGCATTGTGGTTGGCCTTTTGGGGTCGGAGTTGTTGCGTGGGGTATTGCGCTTGAGATCTTAAGATGGATATCCTAGGCTGAGGGCTGGATAGTGGATTTAGGACTTTGGGACCCAAAATGCCACATACTAAACAGGCGGGGACCCCAGGGATCCATTCCCTTGCTGACGAGGCACAAGTTCCACATCCTGAACAGCAATATGTATATTGCTTCTGAGGGGTGCCCGGGGTTGTAGGAAGTGGAAAAGGGCCACTGTAGAACCAGCAGTAGGTGCTATTCGATTCTTGCAGCTTTGTTTTGTGTGTGGGGTCAAGAGAGGTGATCCCTTCATGCTATTTCAGTGCAGTCTCTCCGTTTGCCCTTCTGGCATCGTTCAGGAGTCCGGTGGCTATCCGATTGGCCACTAACCTTTTGTTGGGTATCGTGGTACCATAACCTGACGAAAGCCGAAAAGGTCATCAACCTTCACACCCAACCACTTGGCCAGCCCGTCTCTTATGGCTTTGGCCTGAAGTGTTCAAACTTGTTCTGCCGAACCTGTCCGTTTCCTCAAGTACTGGCGTGTTGTCAGGCTACATCATGGCTGGCAACCCTTTCGTGGAGACGCCAGGTGGACGGTTTGTGACTGTCATATGAAGCCGATCTTATTAAACACATGTCTCCATGTGCATAGGTGTACGCATGGTAGATAACAAGCGTGTATACACTTGGCTATGGTTCTGCATGTGTATGTATGTCTTTTACATGGATGCGTTCTCATGTCCCATACATATACTGACATCTTCCACTCTTGCAAGATAACAGGGCTCAGCCCGCTCTCTCCCATACAGCTGGTACTTGAATTGGTTGGTGCTTTCGGTTGGGGGTCTTTGGAAGAGAAGCAACAGTGACTAACTAAGTAGTGCGCTGTGTACGCTACTCGCCGGTTCAAGTAGGCCGGTGAAAACATCCTGTTAGGTGTGGCGATGCGGAACCAACATATTGGTTGCATGCCCTTCCTGGATGCCTCCCCAAGCCTATTTTGTTAAATAATAACAAACAGAAGCTTGAACTATGGTTGTCGAGGGCAGGGGGGGTTTTGCAAGGTGCATGATGAGCTTGGGCAGAGAGCGCATACAGTTCTTGCGAGCAGCAGGTGCAATGGTTCTTTCGTTCCTGCGCAACGTGACCAAGCAGTTTAAAGATCGCTGGGCATCTGGGCGTCAGAAGAGAGAAACATCTACAAGTGCTTCTATAGAAATCAGGTAGCTTCGTCTACGTCGACATTGGATTTATGTGGGTATCATGCAAAGAGGAACACTCGGGAGCAGGGCATTGCTTTTGAATTTCTGTGCTGGTTGCGAAGGGCCGTAGTTTCTGGAGCTTCAATCGCAACACGGGGATTATTCTCAAGGTCCTGCTAGCAATGTTGCCACGTCTTCACTGCTGCTCTTGTCGACCGTCACCGTAAAGAATTGTCCTGGAAGGTCTGGACCATCAACGTCTACCCATACTTCGATCCAGGCAACCACTTGGACGCCAACAGCACGTCAAAGTGCTCTGAGTCCCTGGAGAAGGCACGCGTCAACCGAGTTGTAGAACGCAATCCATGATGTTTGGATTTGCTGCCCGCTCCCATGCCAGCTACATCCACAGCACCTCTTTGATGCTACGTTTTAGACATTGACCTATGCTAATGGAAGCTTTCATTCCGATTCCAAACTGAAAGGAGAACTTCGGCCCACACTCTGCCATGACATGTAAAAACTAAATGTGGAAGCCCAGGATGTGCATTTTGTATCATGTGTTTTGTCTTTTGGCCTGCACTGAAGGGTGACTTTCATCCCGAGACCGACAAACCTATCATGCGGAATAACGCACGTAGTCTATAGAGAGCCCTATCTCGTCCCTAGACGCCTTCTATGATTTTCAACAAGTGTTAGGGTCTCTCTCGTGCAGGCTTTGTGCATGGAGCCGAATCTCAGCTGCAACGCTCCAGGAGGGACAACCCCATAGTATGTTCAAGTGTTTTAGGGTTCAGGATTCTGGGTCTGGGACTTTGGGCTTATGGGAATCCCGATTGACTCCTGGGCTTCTCGCAATTTCAGTAGTCAGCAGGAAGTGCTAAGGGTCCCTTTTTTGTTTTTGCAACAGGTGGAGTTGGTTTGAGGAGCCATGTCCTGACTCTGGCAGCATGGGAGGTAGCTCAACATGAGGTGGATCTTTCAACCTTAGAAATGTTTGGACACAGTAGAATCAGTCGAACTAGAGAGACAGCCATGGCCTAATTTTCCTTCACTCCAATCCTTGGATGGTCAGTACCATATCCTGCTAGGACGAACTCGGTGACTAGGTCACATTGAAACAGTAGGGTAGCCCTCGCAAAATCTGGAGACCTCCAAGGGTTGGCGGCTCTAGTTTCTTGAACGCCGTCTGAGGACTTGCCTGCTACCAGCCACAGCCACGCACTCAATCGATAGCATCAGCTGAGGTCTTGAAGGTTTGGGAGGTGCAGCGAGTTGGACAAGATTTCACGTGGTGAGTTTTGCAGGTAAGTGCAATGAGGGGGCATTGCACAGGACGCTTCCGGGTGTTTGGGTGTTCAAGCAGGTAAAGCCTGGCGTGCGGATGCTGGATGTGCGACCTATAAGTACGAAGACTGCAACATACCTAGAGTTTGCAGATGGCTACGCTTCAACATAGACACGGAGCCGGATGCCCGCACCCAGGTCTCTGTCACGCTGCTTTTTTTTGCATGTCGTGAACCAGTCGAAGGCTAGTTATCCAAAAGTGATATCTGGGCCCAGATTCTTGTACTCATGTGCCAGAAGCTGGGCGATCATCTACTTACCGCAAGTTTAAAGCATTGATGCAGTCCCTGTTCTAAGCCTGACACCTTGTCGCTGCACGTGGCAACACGCAACGTAAATGTAGCATGCGATCAGCAGTGAAAGTTCACGTCCAATGCCCAGACCTTGGCTATGCGAAAGCGGATGACTCTTCTGACAAAGCGCCCGGATGATGCATGCCTGCGATGGGGGGAGAGGTGACAAGTTTTGATTTGCCTTTGGGTCTGTTCCTTTGTACAGAGGGCTTATTCGGTAGTTATATAGACAGTGCTACCATATAGGGGTCGTGGCGGATGGCAGAAAGCACAGGACATGAAGGAGTAGTCACGACAATTCTTGGGCAGCACGCAATTGCTGGAGTATTTGCCGCGTGGATCTGCATAGAAGAGTGTGAAAAAAGACACTGTCAAATCGTTGTTTTGATCCTCCCTATTTCTGTGGTTTGAAGATTTGAGGGCTGATTCAATTTCACTTCTATTGTGCTGGGCGTGTGTGGGGTTGCCCTTGCTAAGCTTCTCCCCTTGTCCCCTCTCCAGACTCCCGGCCCCTGAAGCCATACTTTAAGCTCCCCAGTGGGACACTTAAAGATCTTGAGACATAGCCACGTAGATGTGAAGCTAACTTCTGGAGGTGCGGGCGATCGTGCAACCCGAAGACCTACCATAGAAAAGGCTGTTGTGCACACCGGCTATATACGGATTATACAATCATGTTGTCATATTAATACTGCAGGAATGGAGAACCACAGAGAAGAACGCAAAATAAGACGGACATTGGGAGTACTACAATGCAGAAATTTGTCAAAGCTGCAGTTAGGTTCCAGGCAGAGGATTCTTGACATACGTTGTGTGGCTTGGAAGAGCTTTGCGAATGACCACTTCGCACAATGCATATCACTTCTGTGGCTAGCTAAGGGCTTGCGATTTCAATTGCAGCGCGAATCAGCATTCGCTTTGGTAGTGGTATTTCCAACAGTACGTATTTTTTGTCAAGCTCTGTCATGTCTAGGTTGAGGTCTAAGCCCAAGTCTAAGCTAAGCGAGTAAGAAGCCATGCAAATAGATTTGCAAAACATGGAGCTGAAAGTAACGAAGAAGGTTGAACATCCCTGGGTGGATTTGTCTTCGTGCGGGAAGGTGTATTTGCTAACGTTGTGGCCCTCACTTTGGATCACGGACTTTACCATTGTACTTGTAGGGGTTACCTAGCTACGTTCAGCTTTGCACATGTTCAGCAGATGCTGCTGCCGGGGCTTCAGGCACCTGAGATTGTGAGAATTCAGGTCTGGGGTGATTGGCAATTGTAATCAAATTGCCATTGTGCGGCTGATGACAGAAATCCTGCAGTGCCCGCACATTAGGAGTTACCATCTCAGGAACCTTAAGTGATGCAAGACTTTCTCCAGCAGTGTGAGCCCTGACAGTCATCACTTCTTTCTCAGGTAAAGGAAACACTTGGGGAGGGGTCCTCATGCTCATATGACCTCGTGATATTCTCTGAACGCCTAATCCTGCAACCAGTACAGAAACCCTTCAAGAGCCACGGAAGCTGCCAAGGATGTGCTTTGGATTGGGGAGACTGGATGGTCATATCCGCAGGCGGCACGCAATTCCAGGGCATTCGGTTCAGGGCTTGAACCCGCAACCCAAAATTCTAGACCGCAGGCCTCGCATCCCTGGCAGCGCGTGTTGCGCGTGATGAAGCCGCTGACCTTAAGGTCAACAGTCTGAGGAAAGCATGTTCTATGTGGTTATCAAGAAATATTCGCTTGTGTTGCTGAGCTAGTCTCCAAATTGGAAGTCCCGTCCAAATGACTTTATCATAAGGACCTCGTTTGGGGAGTACGTAAACGCCTCTCTGCTGCATAGCATCGCAGCTCCCCGCATAGTCCACCAGCAGTCTCCATTGAATCCCCCTAGACTCCAAGTATTTGCAGCAACCGTTTTGACGGCCCTTCAGATACCAGTCCATACCCGGATGCCAAAAGACCTTGGCAATTTGACAGGTCCTATATAGATCTCACATCAATCCTCTCAATCTTTGTAGTATAGCTCCTGTCTAGACTCTATACAATACTTCTAGCAAAAGGCACTCCACTAGTAATCATTGCAACCCAACTGAAATTCCCATATCCCGATATATCACCCCTGCAGAAAGTCTTGGCACACCCCCACATTATCCCATCGAACACTGAACCCCAAATCTACATCATGCCACAGCCCCGAAAACCTAAATCCTACACTCCCCCCAGAAGAGGAGAATCCTCCTGCTGACCAGGCTGGCTCCCTGCCCGGCGCCAATGCGGCCATGGCGAAATGCCCGGACTTCTCCTCCCAGAAAGCTTTCCGCTTCTCGGCTCTATGGTGTCCAATGCAGTTACAGGGATGCTTTTTCAGGGTTTAGGGTTTTTTGTCAATCATCGTAGGGGTCAGCCTTTGAGCCGAGATCCCATAGGGGGTAAGGCATGCTAGAAAGAAGGAAGTGGTGTTCCACAAGCTTCACTTGGCTTGAGGCAGATGTTTTGCAGGCCGCAGGGTTGCAGGCTGCAGGGATTGAGGTGAAGGTTACGATGCTTAAGCATCAGAGGCTTCGAACACCCGGGCCGTGTCCTCGCCTGGAGTATTGCTTACGGTCCTGCTCAGGTGTAAAAACCGATTGAAAGGCCTCAAGCGCGCTGCTGCGTGAACATCAGGACACGAGCGCGGATAATTCTGCAATTCGGCGCTACGCAGACATGAAGGAAGCCGTCCGTTTGCAGGTCTACGATTTCGTTGGCCTAGAAGGAAGAGGGTGTCCTGTTAGCTTAGCG